AGGCCCTCTGTGGTAGGCTCTTGTCCTGTTCCCTGTTTTCTCCCTCCTCCGATGTCCATCCTCTTTGCCTTTCTGAACAGGCATTGAACATCTTAGCCAGAGTCCTTCTTCCTCTGATCAGCTTCCTTAGGTGTACAGATTTTAGTATGTTTATCCTATGTTATATGTCTAATATCCACTTATAAGTGAATATATACTCTGTGTGTCTTTCTGCTTCTGGGATACCTCCCTCAGGATGATCTTTTCCATTTACCTGCAAATTTCATGATTTCCTTGTTTTTTATTGCTGAGTACTATTCCATTGTGTAGATGTACCACAATTTCTGCATCCATTCTTCAGTTCAGGGGCATCTGGGATGTTTCCAGCTTCTGGCTATTACAAATAAAGCTGCTACAAACATGGCTGAGCAAATGTCCTTATTGTGTTCTTGAGCCTCTTTAGGATATATGCCTAGGAGTGGTATGGCTGGACCTTGAGGAAGCGCTATTCCTAGTTGTCTGAGAAAGCGCCAGATTGATTTCCACAGTGGTTGTACAAGTTTACATTCCCACCAGCAGTGGAGGAGGGTTCCCCTTTCTCCACAACCTCTCCAGCATGTGTTGTCACTTGTTTGTTTTTCAATACAACACTATTAAAATGGAGAAACATCTGGGGTATATACATGTGCTTTTTTACATGGCTACTAAATAAAGTATTAGGAGCAGATAATATCTCACTTGTCATATAGACTCCTTGTTCAAGGCAAATATTTAAATCTCGGACATTTGATTTTTCTCTGTTGGTTTACATAATTGTAAACTTCTGTTAGCCAGGGTCTTTAGCACAGGCTAACCTATGTAACCAAGGATATATTGAAGTTGTGATCCCCTCCTGCCTTAACTTCCTTACAGGTTTTTACCACACCACCAATATTACGTGGTACTGAGGATAGAACACAGGGATTCTTATGTGTTATGCAAGTAGTCTACCAATTGAGGTATATTTCCAGCCAAATTTATAAAAACATCAGTATATTAATTGCACTTTGTGTATCTGCAAATACATTTAAATTATGTACTATAATACAGTGCTACTGTTGTTTATTAGTTTGTTTTTAGTTTAGATGTATGATTTCTTCTTCTTTTGAGACAGGATATTATGTAGCTAGGCTGTCCTTGAATTTACTATATGGCACAGGATGAGCACAACATTCTAAATACCCTGTTTCCTTTTTTGAAGTGCTAAGATCATAGTTGTGCATAACCATGCCTTGCTATTTGAATTGGTATTTTAAAATTAAAACTATTAGTAGTGACAGTAAAAACATTTCACAATTGACCAAAATAAAATATTTGGGATAAGTTTTGTGAGAGGATTATAATCTCAAAAGAAAAAAATATCACCTAACAGTAACAACAAAGTTCCTATTTTAGTCCTGAAGAATTCTGATTATACACTTAATGCTTATGTTTTTTGAGACCTGGTTTCATGCAGGCCAGGATAGCCTCAACATGATATGTATCCAAAGGTGACCTTGATTTCCTGTTCCCCCCTCCCCGCTTTTTTCCTCCCAAGTGCTAGGATCACAGGTGTGCCCCTCACCACACCTGACTTTAGAGTGCTTATTTTAAAGATTATAGGCAACTGAGCAAACCTGGAAGCAGGAGAGGTGGTCTTTCCCAGGAAAAAACACACCAATTGGTTGTCCAGTACAAAATAGTGTGCTCTGGAAACATACATACAAGTAAAATTATACAGACTGAACAGGCTATACCCAGGAAGATAGATGTATACATATAAACAGATGCGTGCATGCATGCACTAACAATCAGTGAAAAAGAGGGCATGAATTTGAGAAAGAATGGGGAGACATGTATGGGAGGGGTTGGTGGGAGGAATAAGAAGGGAGAAAGTGGATTGTGTTACTATATATTAACATTTTTATCAATCAGAAGAAAACTACAGTTCTTTGGTTTATAAACACTTAGAATATTCAAAAACCTTAAGAACCTGTTTGTTTCATGGTAGGGTATTTTTCTGCAGATTCTTTTTTTGTAGAACTTTGGGATTTGTTTTAATGCTTTTGTATGGCAATATCTGTTTTCTAAAATCTTCAAAGTTAATACTTCTGTACAAGTTCTTTTTGAAACAGGACTTAGTTATGTAACTACACTGGCCTTGGACGTGTAAGGACCCTCCTACCTCTGTATCACCTATGCTGCAATTATGGATGTGCACTACGACGCCCAGCTCAACAGTGCGTTAAATCAGTCATAGAATTTTTTAAAAAAATACAATGTTCCTGATCCAGAAGAGAGAGAGAGAGAGAAAGAGAGAGAGGAATCATAAAAACAATGAAATTAAATTAATTATTAAATGAAATATTCTAATTTCATAAGAAATTACTAAACAACAAAAAAGAGCCCAATCATTTTCCAAGTTTCCTTATGAAAAAAAAGTACAAAAATATATACTTAAATACTTCTACTTAAATGTTAAAAAATAAAGAAAACTCATTGTTTGAGGATTACAAAAATTAAACCTTACCCAAAACTTCTCATGAATAAGATCTAAAACCTTGCAATGTTTATCAGATATAAATTCCTATCTCTTGTAAATGCCTAATTCACAAGAAAGAAACAGAAAGAAAGAAAGAAAGAAAGAAAGAAAGAAAGAAAGAAAGAAAGA